GTATGTATACGTGAGAAAGGGTATAAAAGTATAATGTACATATCTCACAAAATGCACTCGTAAAATCTAATTAAAAGTGCAACTTTTCTTAGAACGCTTACCTGTGAATACAAGATTGAAATCTCAGTAAGACTTGGACCCGGTTTCACCAACGTCGCTTAACTTTATAAGCTTAACTTAATTCGTTCTTTGTCTCTTTCCAACTGTTACTCTAGAAAGAGACAAATATGAATTAAACATAAGATTATCCCTTTGAAGCATGATGGTAACCCACGTTACCACCTCAACTTCTTTACTTTTTGGCAATTGAATTTCTAGTTAACGCATTTACAGTTGAATGATGTTATTCTTTTAGGTTTGGAATTCCGTCATTTTGAATCATGAAAATCTGATAACGGATTCGTAATCAGCGACTCCGAAAACCCTTGTATACAAAGTTTTACATAAAATGGTTTAATAGCAAAATGTATGCTTCAAAGGGTTAACGTTGAGCGACGTTTGGTGAAACCGGGCCTTATTCTCTTATCCAGCAATTTTCTTAAACTTGTAGTCGACCATGTACAACAAATTTCCTTTTAACACTACAAGTATCATTCAGATAAGTGGATCCTTCACGTACAATTTTAGCATATCTTATATCCCTCATTTTCAATAATGTCCGATAGAAAAATTTGAATTTTAAATGAGTATCGTCAGTCGACGATGAACCTGTCCATGCAAGGATCGAGCAAAATATTCCAAAACAGCTACAATCCTGATATAAGAATATATATATTATGAGATAGATTTCCAATATGGTTTGGATAGCGGGTTTTCAACATTCAAATTCAATCGCAAATCTTTTTTCGCAACGGTTACACAATCTAATAATGAATTTTCCACTAAACAGATTTCGCCCCAAGGGCAATAAATTCATGGTGGAATTGACTGACGATGCCCCGCTATCCCATACTAGGATCCTATCTCGCAATAGGGGACTTTCCTCTAATAATACCAGATAAAAGTATTATAAACTTGAATATTAAACAAGGTAGATTAAAATCTTCCGCAAATAACAATGCTCGCGGTCGGTTAATTATTGTACATGTAAATATGTAAATTTATTAAGTGGCTACCTCCAGTTTGCCAGGACCTAAATGGCGTTTACGTTTGTATTTAGTTATATCTTAAAAAGGTCCGTATTAAACTTTAGTTAGGTAATATCAACATCCCGCCGATATCCCTAAAGCCCTGTGTCCTTTTGCGGAAAAGCTGCAAGTCGATTGGCTACACACTTCTCGGAACTAGAACTTGAACGCAGTTCTCGGATCGTGGCCACGAGGCTTAAGTGCCAAAGTATACCTTGAGAAAAGTGTATAAAACCCGTATTTAACGTATCCGCTAATATCAGACCCGGGGACGATGGAGAACGGGGAAGGAACGCGCGCTTGACGCGCGAGTCACGGAGATCGCGTACCCGCCGACACCCGTCGTTTCGTCCTTTCTTCCCATCCTCTCTCCTCTCGTCCCTCTCCCCGATTCACTTCGACGTTACCAAATTGTCCAGACCAATGCCGACTGCCAGGACCGTTACGCGCGCCCGTTCCTCCTCTCTCTCTCTCTTTCTATCGCGGCTTCCTTTCGAACATTATAATTTATAAGCTCGACAAGTCGACCTATTTGGCGCGCGCGGAAATTGATTGTCCGTTTGACTTGCCGGATCGAGACATCGACGGGGATCGATACCGGCGGTCATAGATAACACGGACAACTTGTTTACTCTCTCCACCTCGCTCGTCCGGCACGGCGAGGGCATGGAGCACGACGGCGACTATGACGACGGCGACGACGTCTTCCGGGTATCGAGGCTCTGTATTTTCGAGACGACGCGCGCCTTCAGCGTACAACTCATGGTGTAAAGATACAAGGTGACGCAATCTGATGGATGAGTAGTGTCGACCAATGAGAAGTGGTCGAAACCACTGAATTGACCAATCAGAAATTTGCCTCAACCTTCGAACTGCAAGATCGTTGCGGTTGAATGCAGGAAGAACCGATGAACAATTTGCCCCAAAATTTGGTTACACGCGCAATGGGTTTCACCTTATATCTTTACACCATGGTACAACTCGCAGGTCTGCGTTTCGACGAGTAACGAAACGCGCCGCGGGTGCGATAGAACGGGAATGGTGCGCCCGGCAAAAATACCGTGAGATATCTATCGGTTAGATTTATAGAGCCGTCCTCGTGTATCTGTCATAACACGCTGACATTAACTCGCCGAATGACGGTGCACTTAGCCGAGGCCGCGGCGATGTATCAAGCGTAACGCAGCGATAGTTAGCTGATATTAAGACAATAAATATTCCACGGTGAATTTCTCTGTTCGCAGGCGGGGCTGTATTTTTCTTTTTATTGTGCCATTTAAATTACACATCGTATTGCTGCGCGTTTCCTGTACATTCAGCGGGAAACTTTCCTTTAAGCAAAGGTTCTTGTGTCACGAGGGGGGGGGGGGATTCAGTTTCTCTTGATTAGAGTAAGAGGCGAAGTCAGGTTTCGTGTGAAATGCCTTTCGTCTTCGCCGGTTTCCTCGTGTCTCTCTCTCTCTC